TTTTATGGAGTACTATTCTGTGCCAAGTGTTTCCCTACATATTGACAAAATGCACAGTAAGTAATGGCAGAGGGTGGGGCTGGTGCAAGGAAAGTATATAAATCACTGCTGTTTATGAGTAGTGAGAATTAGGTGGTTCCCAGGATGCCATAGCACAGAGTTGAGACACTCTTCCTTTTCCCCATTTGGAACCTATCGAGCAAGTCAGGCCACCTACCACTGCCACACTGACCTTCACTCCCTCCCTCAGGGTACACTTAAACACAATCATCTTCATCAGCAGCGCCCTCCTGGTGGGAGGTGAGAGCCGAGGACTGCGCCCAGTTAAGAGTCCTTCCTGGTCATCACTGGTCAGTGCCCAGGCACAAAACCAGCCCAGGGCCTGGGAAGGAGAGTACAGCTGATCCACTGCACGCTACCTTCCACTCTTACCTCTATGAGCATCTGCCAGTGCCCAGGCTATTTAATAAGAGTGTGCCTGGAGCATTCACACAACACACACATCCTCAGGCATGTGGCCCATGTCCTGCTGGAACAATGTCATGCAAATTTCTAATACACGAGTGATTAGGCCATGCCTGAGTCCACTCTCAGAGCCTGTCCTGGCCTCCTCTCTTCCAGCACTTTCTTCTCCTTCTCTTCCTTTTTTACACAATCACTAACAATATAGTGCTGGGATTGCAAGTTCTTTGGTGCATACTTCACTGTTGACCTGGAGGTGAAGGCGGAGGGAAACAGGGAGAAATGTCTGGGAACTTGGGACCTGTGTGCTTTGAAGAAGGAGCAGGGGAGATAGGGCAAAGCATTGATGAAGGAGCTGTATTTTACTTAAAGTCTTCTATTATTCATTTAAATATGAAAGGAAATGGTTATTTTTTACAGATAATGGGATGGTTCTGCAATCTTTAAACTATTCTTTGAAACTAATTTCTAGGATTTGGAGCTAATTTAATTCTTATTTTCCTTCTGCTAATACGTTCATTAATTCATTAACTTTTGACTAATGTCATGAGAATGTTTTTTTCAAAGCAAACTGAAAGTTTCCAATGCTGGTGTATGTATCCATAATTACTATGTACCCTATGTGTTTTGTATGTCAAAGTTTTTTTTTCTTTCTTTTTTTTTTTTTTGAGACAGGGTGTCACTGTGTAGTTGAGGCTGACCTGGAACTCACTATGTAGTCCAGGCTGGTCTCGAACTCACAGCGATCCTCCTGCTTTAGCCTCCCAAGTGCTGGGATTACAGGTGTGAGCCGCCACGCCCAGCAGTTACTTTTAAAGAATAATGTTTTAGGCTTCTAAAAAATCTGCATTTATATAATGACCACTAGCTTTGGCTGTTTTTTTGTCTTCTTCATGAAGAAAAAAAACCCCAGAAATAAAAGACTGGCTTATTTTCTGGTTGGCTATGCCTAATGGGAAAAAAAAATTAATTGACCAGTAACTCCTTGCCAGCAATCCCAGAACAGGTGTTACACTACCCCTGCTTGAAAAGGAGAAAACAGATTAGTGAGTTTAATTTGCTGAGGTTAAAGACTGGTTAACTCCTGTCAGGTGACCCTCAAAATGAGGCAGATTAGAGCGTGGTAAACTGGCTGGGACAGTGGGTATGACCTGTTAATTACAAAGCTCCAGGACACATACCTAGAACAGCTTTCTCAGCACGGCATGTGGAACCAATCACAGAGTGCTATCTTCACTGGTCTTCAATTTTTCCTGAAGCACGTTTTTCACAGGAAGGCCTAGACCTGACGATGGAGTGGGACATACAAAAAGAGACATGGTCAAGCCAAGTGACTCTGTTATTTGCAGAGTATCTTTTCTTAGCATTCGTCGGCCTGAATTCACTCTGTACAGCATGGTTCTTTTGTCCTACCTTTAATTTAAAAACCTACCTTTTGTGCTTGTCTTAACCAATTCTTTGTTGGAGACAGAACCTAGAAACATCTCTAGAAAGAGATTCCAGCATCCCCCAAACCTGGTAACAAAGCCAGCCCGCCCAAGCAGCAGTAAACTAGGCCACCTGCTAACGTGGCTGATACGACTGCTCCCTCCCCCCACCTTCCCTCCTTTCCCTGCTCCTGTGCATTTTACATAGGCAGACACAGTACTTATGTTGGCCCTGATCTGAGAGCTCAACAGACATTCAATCCTTTAACTCTCCCATCAACGCTCTGACGTGGGAGCGGCTATCATCCACACTGGGCACAGAAGAAAGCTGAGGCTGGAGGACGCTACACCTCAAAGGGTAACGTGCGATAAACAAATGTGACGCACGCCTCAAACGGAGCCTGCCCGAAGATCCCACAGCAAGGCTGAGACCCAGAGAGATTCTCTCGCGGGCGCCGCGGCCAGAAGCGCGTTTCCCCTAGAACAGGGGAACGCGGCTTCCGGGGGAAGAGGCGGGGCCTGGAGGCGGAAGAGAGGCTGGAGGCGGGGCAAGCGGAAAGGGTGAGGGGCGGAGTGTCTGCTGCCGGACCTGGTCTCCCCGGGAGGGGCGGG